CCCCCCTCCCCGAATATAAGCCCACCCGAATATATGTCCCCCAATTAATATAAAAACAGTAATCGCTGCTTATAATACACGTTTATTTTCCTGTTTATGACTGACTTCTTTATTACTAACACAAAAGATCGTCTATGTATAATCCCACCCGTATATAAGCTCCCCCCCCTCTTGTTTAAAAGGTAATCAAAAATCGCTTACGAAAGTATGTAAGCTCTCGGCTTATAGTTGGATGTTTACGGTACTGTAATTCTTGACTGCCACGTTTATACGCCGATAATTCAGGGCGTTACTAGAAAGAAAACATTTCCGCAAAGATTTTCTTGGACATATGCATGCATGGTTGAGTATTTAGTTTTTCACTCCGTGTGACAATCCTTGTGTTAGCACTAGAAAAGTGCGAATGAATGCGAATCTAGTGTTATATTTGCTATACGTACATTTCAGTGCGCAAATGCATACGCCAATTTGTTGCGAATTTACAAGTGACAATCTTTGTCTTTGCATTACGAATGCATTCGAACCTTGTGTTATATTTGCTACGTACATTTCAGTGCGCAAATGTATATGCCAATTTGTTGCGAATTTACAAATGACAATCTTTGTCTTTGCACTAATGAGAATGCATTCGAATCTAGTGTTATATTTGCTACGTACATTCAGTACGCAAATGTATATGGCAATTTGTTGCGAATTTATTTCTTGTTTGTCAGTCAAGTTTATGAATGTTATAAAACATAACGACGATTTAACTTATATATAATGCATAAGCCCATTGTCGCGGGTTTATTTCCCTAATTTAAAATCGCTCTAGATTTCTATGATGACCAAGGGCAAAGCCGCCAAGATATTAATGGGGTCACGGGTAAGATATAAGTTAAGGCCCTCGAGAAAACAGCACAGATGATTAAAGGTCCAGACACACCGGACGCCATTCGACAACGCGACGTGATTTTAATTAGTTTTTGAAACTTAATAAAACAGTCGATGAGAGCAAATTTTGAATGATATGTAGACCAAATAACTCCGAATGTTATAGCGCTTCTAAATATTTGGAAAATTTAAACTATAGGATCAATTGCGTCGCGTTGTCGATTCGGCGTCTGGTGCATGTGCAGTATAGCCTGCGGTTGGTGCGCTCAAGCCCTACAAGAGCACCGAGACTATACTATAATTGCCTCCCTCATCTGGCACGGTCGCGGTCTGTAGATATTTGCCATGCCGAGTTTCTCCCGGAAAAGTCTTCTACATTATTTCGAACCTCTAGTAAGCTATAGTTTTTACCGCCTTAAGATTTAATTAAACTTCTCTGACTGATTGAAGGACAATATATAGCACTTATAGTGCTTTCTTATAAGAATATTATTTGAAAATATTATTTGAAAATATATTTTGAAATATAACTGTAAATATGTTTGCAGAATTGAAAATGTCCGCGGAGCCGTTTCCAATCAAAAGACAAACAGTTTTACATGCAAGCAAAAATAAAGTAAAATCTGTTTACTATATTTGCTTCATCTTTTATACATTTGCACTTCTGCAAAGATGTTGGCAAATATGAAGTAAATAGAGTGTGTTGTTGTTCATCCCGTGCGACGTCTAGCAAACACAGTTGTGTCCTGTATGCTTTTCTTCTTAGGAAGATCTGCAACGATAAATACACATAAATCCTTTAAATTATCTAACAAGAGTATTTAGTCAAATTCTCACTATTCATGTACGAATCCCCATTAAAGGTCAAAAAAATATTAATTAAAAGAGGCCAAAGACCTACGTGGCCCGGAAATGTTGCGTATAGACAGCCGTAAGGAGCCCTAAAAAGCCCTATATATAAAACCCCAAAGAGCTCTAAGGGACCCTTGAGAGTCCAAAATAACTCTAAAAACCCATTAACTACAATTTTTGCTGCGAGGTCCAGCGCGATTTTCTTCTTCTGATGCATGTGCACGAGAGTAGATGAGTTATGAATGTGTTGAGTGGATGTACCTTCAACTGCACACTCATGCTTATGAACTCGTTCACATCCATCACAAGAAGAAAATCGCACTTAAAATTGCAGCAAATGTTGCAAGTGTAAATGGGGGGGGGGGGGTCTTGAAGAGCTGTATGACTTCTAACAGCTCCTATATATGGCTCTATATACAGAGTCCTAGGGATCCCTAAAGGGCCCTATAGGCAAGAAGAGTGGGTGAAATGTAAGAGATAGTTATGAGAAGCGAGGTTATATTCGTTTTAATGGTTTTCCCAGATCAGGGTCATATCGTGTATTATAATATGAATTTTTTTAATTATATAAAACATCCTAGCACACATTTAAATTGTTAGTTATCCATGATGATGATAATGATGATAATAATGATGATGATAATGTTGATGTTGGTGATAATGATAACGAAGTTGACAAATTATTTAGGTTTTAATTAATGACGTTAACCGCATGCTGATGTTAATGGTGCTTCTTTCCGAACAAGCGTACAATTATAAGGACCCTTTAAAACGTTCTCTTGAATCATCGGCTCACCTCCTTGTAGCAACCGTGTTACTTCATTCAGTACTGCGTAATTCATAACATGAAACACGTGGTCCTCTGGCTTTGAACTAGCGATTTGTTGCAGCTCACTTTCTCTAATATGCGTCGTCACTCCCATGGCATAGATAATGACTTGTCTTTGTTTTAACTGGCCTGCAGGAATACCAGGTTTGACGCCCCGGTTAGATTTACCATCCGTGAGCAGGTAAATCACTTTCATAGCCTCGCTTCTAGCTCCCGCAGCAGGGCTGAATAGCAAATTATTTTTGACGTATTCAAGTGCAGAGCCAGTGGACGTGAAACCACCTGTGTATCTGTGGAGTAAACAATTGCTGTGTTTGTATACCTGTAGTAACAGACACTTGACTATACGGACCATATATAGGCGGCATAGGATAGGTTTGGGCTGCAAAACAAACTTAGATGCATGGGTCGGGGCAAGTTTGAAGCGGCAAGAGGAAGATTTGGAATACGGAAACTTCGATGTCCCAATACCACTTCCGAAATAACTGTCACATAATATATATATATATATATATATATATATATATATATATATATATATATATATATATATATATATATATATATATATATATATATACATATATATATACATATACAGGGTGTATAAAAAAAAACTGAACAGATTTAAAATTGCTCTCAATTTCGCAAAACAGCTATTTGTATCTGGTTTTTTATATATATAGCTTCTTTGGGTACTTATTAAAAAAATTCTCGAACTCAAATTTTGTGAACCAGGGGTGTGTGTCTTTTCCAACAAACTAAAAATGGCTCGCGCACAAAATTTAAAAGCTGCAATCATATTTTGAGTTAACAGATGGAAAACTTGTCGGGATGTTAATTACTGTACAAAATTTCAGACAATTTGGTTTAGTTTAAGCCCCTTTAACTATTCATTTTGTTCTAAAAAGTCAGCCTTTCGCATGCTTAATTAATGCCTTTACCTAATTTGCATATTGCTGACATATGCAAATTAGGCAAATGCATTAATTAAGCATGCAAATAGCCGATTTTTCGGGAAAATTGAAACTTTGCGTGAATAGTTAAGGGGCTTAAACTAAACCAAATTGTCTGAAATTTTATACAGTATATATATATATATGTATATGTATATTAATACTTAAAATGTTTTTGTTGCTACTCCGAGTTTCATGCCGTAAAGGCAATCATCAGGCAACAGTTTTTGCTTCAGAAGCAAAAACAAAACAAAGTTTTTTTGAAGCAAAAACTGTTGCCTGATGATTGCCTTTACGGCATGAAACTCGGAGTAGTAACAAAAACATTTTAAGTATTAATATAAAAGCGCTTTATTATATAAACCAACCTCGTTCCCAGGGCTTTTCCCTTTTTGTCATTCGGAAGGCGGGAAAAGGCCCTGGGATCGGCTGGTCGGTTCTGGCTTCTGATTGGTAGGATGCATTTTTAAATTTGTGCACAACTTTCGCAAATTTCTATAATTATTTCAAAATTGTGTTATTGTAATAAATGGCTGAACTCGCGGAAAACAAAGAGACGCCAACCAAAATTTCGGCAAGAAATCCTGTTTGTAGGCTTTGTTGCGAGTCTAAAGAAGGCCGGCATGTAATCAAAATATTTAGTAAAACTGGTTTAAGTCAAGAACTTTGTCAAAAAGTGGAACTTTCGTGTGGAATAAGTGTGACTGAGAACGATACGAAGTCGAAAGTAATATGTAGATCTTGTGTGTCGTTTGTGAACAAAATATGTAACTTTATTACAAAAGTGCGAGGACAGCAAAACAATTGCGATGAGAGATCCGATGAAGCCTTTTCTGTAAAGCGTTGTGTAGAGGTGTCGCCTTCCTCTTGTCAGCCTGCAGTAAAACGCCTAACTTCAACTGGTTCGTGTAGGCAACAACTATTCGACGAAGAACCGCAGCTGTATCCAGCAAACATTTGAACCAATCCACTTCAATTGGATGGTCATATAGATGTGGACAGTCAGTCTCGTTTGAGTGACAAACAGCAGCAAATGATATCTCGAGCTCTCAATGCGAAAGATACAAATGTGCTAGCATTTATTCTCAAACAACACTGCGAAAATGTAGTCACCGCTTTGCTAAAGTTACTTCTTAAAGATGTTAGCCTCTCGAGCGCTAAACTTTGTAAACGTTCACAAGGCTCTATGTTATACGGTAATGATTATCAAAGTTTGAAGGACTTCAGCTATAACAATATTTGTATGGAACTGAAAGATAATTTCCCTATATGCTTGTTGAGTTTATGAGTGCGATTGCTGGAGAAGAAAGAAAGATGGAAGATATAGGCGAAAGTTTACGCGTTAAATATAATTTTCTGTATTCCATTCTAATGAGTGAAAGATGGCATGAATTGAACCTCGTCAAGCGTGTAAATACAGTCCTTATTGTCGAGGGCGGATGCACTAAACAGGTACAAATGTAAAATAGAATTATTATATTATACTTGCATTTTTAGGAAAATAAATAGATTTCTGTTTCAGTATTAATTGCTTCAGTCATTCCTGCTTTGTTTTATAGTGAATTTTCTCGCATCCGTATTACATTTTTCAGATAGTTAATTAATGATTTCTATTTTTGATCATGATGCTGACACTATATTGCTTGGGGAAAATTGTATTGTGTTTTCATATAACAATTTTATACACTTTGCAAATGATAGCAACTATATATTGCCTTTCCAATACATTTTATCTAGGTTGTATTTGACCATTCGATTAGTCGATTTATAGCGGTTTATTTATATGCGCTGTAAGAAGCGGTGATAAAGTCATAAAAGCATATTGTTTGCATCTAGAATGAACACTGAAAATTTCAGTGTCTTGATGTATATTACCTTAAAGAAATAAAGTCAAACTTGCCTTTATATATTTCGGAGAGTTTTCGTATAAATTTTCGTCGAGAATACTGAATATATCTTGAGTCGTAGTCAAACGTGTATGCTATGGCCGCCGCAACTATATAGACGCGATAATTGGGGGTGCATATTCATATATTCGTGTTCACCTACCGCAAAAGAAACCAGTAGGGCAGAACACGAATATATGAGTATGCACTCCTCCCCCCTCCCAGTCTAGTTACGGCCCTGGTTATGCTTGCACGCAACAGCAAAGTCCGATTATACAGTGTGTCCCAAAAATGTACCCCCTATAGAAAGTATCCTATTGTTATAAGGGTACTTTTTTGGGGACACACTGTATATATGAATTCAAAGTGAGATGACTAGCTATAATCTTCGAAACGTTTCAAGTACTCTTTGTTTACCGCAACCGCGGACTAATAATTTGAAAAAAAGTTTTATGTACGATGGATCATTCCTTTGGAATTCTATTCCAAAGGAAATTAAAGAGAGCAAATCCCTTTCTTCATTTCGGACGAAAATCGCTGCTCACATTGATAATTAAAGCAAAGATATGCATCTGTAAATACATTATTATCTCATATACTTAATATATTTTATACTATATTTTCTACTTTGTAAATAGCTTTTAAATACTTTTCATATTTGCTGTATACTTCTTGTTCACACGCCCCTCGTGGAAATCAGCTGTAGTTGACGAGGTTAGCGTGGTTAAATAAATCTATCTATCTATCTATCTAAACACGCACCAAAAACATTGTTTCTACAAAGGGCATGTATAATGATAAAATATTTCAATACAAACAATAATATGGTAAATATACTTATAATATATAGAAAATAGATTTTTATGTGAAAGTTATAATAAGCGCGCCTTCAATTGATACAAAAACTTTCATTTTGTGACATATTTATACATGTTTGACATCTTGGTATGATATATTTCAAGGCATTAATAATGGTTTTTCATTAAAATTGTGACAATTGTTTCCTTGATTCCATTTCTGGGCGGTACAGATTCCATGTATAAAGAGTTCTGTGAAACATTAAACTATTTTATTATACAAACATAAGTGTTATATAGAGTTTTTGGCCACTGAGAAAATATCATATGTTGTAAAACGTATTGCCACGGACGCTTTATTGTTTTTCACTGAATTTTGTTTATATATAATAACCGGAAAAATACATGCAGGGTGTGCGGAAATACCAAATTTATTTCGAGTGTTGAATATAATATCTCGCGAGTGATCGCGCAGCGAACGAGTGAGATATCATGTTCAACACTAGAAATAAATCTGGTATTTCCAAGCACACATGTATTTTTCTGTTTATTATATAAACAAAATTCAGTGAAAAACAATAAAACGTTATTTGTACAATGCCAATGGTTATCATGATGTAATTCATCTCTCTGCATATATCATCTGTGGCACTGTATTGCCTTTCCGGGATATAAAATGTTGATAAATAGTTATTTCCTGTGTTCGCATTTGAAGACTTAAATGTGTTATTGGTTTGTCTATATTACTATAAGGATTCGACTCATGTTTTTTATATCGTTGCATGGTTTTGGTACAATACTACAGCTCTGCAAATAGCATAAATTCAGTTCAACATTTAGTCTGCGTTTGTACTATAACGCTGCGGTAACATTTCGTTAAAATTTTACTGCTTTTCTTATTATTGTATTTACACTATAGCAGAGTGGTTTGCTGTGGCGTATTAACTACGGACCAATTTACCATGGCGTCATATATTATAAATGCGGCCTAAATGTCCAGACACACCGGACGCGATTCGACAACGCGACGCGATTTTTCGAGTTTCACTGACCGATAACTTTGATCTTAGTTTAAATTTTACAAATATTTAGAAGCGTTATATCATTTTGAGTTATTTGGTCTACATATCTTATAAAATTTGCTGTCATTGGATGTTTTATTAACTTTCAAAAACTAAAGAACCGCGTCCGTGTTGTCGAATTGCGCCGGTGTATCTTGACCTTGAGACCTAAAATTGTATTCTTTATTGCACTTTTGCTCCTTGTTTCCATGTGGCACATGAAATTTATATCCCCACATTTTATGCAGGACTATGTTTCTCTTTGATCTTGCATGCATGGGCCTAAACACAAGTCTATCCATATAACCCTACCACATGCATGTGCATACATGACACAAGAGAAAAATAACCATTTTAAAACGAAGCCATTACAAAAAAAGAGTGCAAATATAGAACAGTCGTTTAGTTACCACATTTTTTCTAAATTAGATAAACTGATCCTTATTCCAAACACTGAAAAATGTGAATTAACTGTCATTCTATTCGTAGCTACAAGAGCGATTGAACAAGCTTGGGGTATGCCTGTCCACCTCTAGAAAGGATACAATCATCAAACTACTTGGGGGCCATTTTTCTGACCAAGTTGTTGAAAAGGTCAAGAAAGGAAAGGTATTTCGTGGCACCGGCGATAACTGGGACATGAGGATTTTGAAAAGCAGTATGCGAATGAACATTCAAAATGAAAATCTACATTTGTTTGCCACCAATCTCATGGAAAACCGACTGACATTCAGCCACTAACCTAATGAGAAGCCGAAGGGCAACATCAAAGATCTTCCACGCTCAACATTTTCTTTAAGCGTGAATGAGTGGAGGCAGTATGCAGATAATGCTAAGGTTATTGTAGGACGGATTGCTCTTCAATTTCTTCCTCAGTTCAAGTTCTTGAAAGGCATTGTTCCAGATCGTATATTGCATGTTCACAGTAAGGAAATGGAACGGCAATCAAGCATTGTCAGTATGCCTATTATTAATGCCAATGAGGCAAAATATGAAGATTGCGTTTCCATACTTCGTACATACGAAAAGTGGATTTCTGAAATTTATTTCGAGGCTGGTTTGCTTCAAGAAATTCCTCAAGCAGATAATCCACCAGTACCTGCTGGACCCGCAGCCCCTGGTCAGACCCATGCCCATGAACAGCCAACATCAAATGATCCAATGAGAGATATGAAAATTGCATTTGCCGGAGATCAATTAACAAGGGTGCGTTTTGCTGGGGCAAAGGATCTACTTTCAGGGACACATACACCGTCTGATAGGTTTGAGAATTGCTCGCCTTTTAAGCCAGCTAGTGATGTGGCATACAAAAGCATCGCTTCTCCAGTACTCATACTCATTCCTGTGCAAACCAACATCTGTAAATCAGGTTGGAACTTTAAAGTTTTTTCGAGAAAAGTACAACCGTAAAAATGCCACACCATCCAAAGTTCTTGATTCTTACGAAGGAAGTGAGGACTTGTTTCTTAGCGTAGGACGAGCTTACATCGTGGCTGCACTTCTCAAGTTTTTTGGAATGACAAAGCTTGATGACAAACCAACTGTTAATGTGTTCTCAGATAACATTACTCGTGCTAGTAAGGAAAATAAGAAAAAGTACCATGACGATGTTTTCGGGCAATTCATTGACAGAATGGTGCTGCAGAAAATATGTGACGAGTCACATGATGATGATGACTATGTCATGAACTATGGGTTGTGTTTCATATTCTTGGCTATCCTGATATTGCAAATGAACGATACTGCTGCAGAAGCTGATGGCAAACGGAATCTGGTCAATCAAAAGCTGCTGTTAGCTGTATTCAAGTCAATGGGAAATTACAGCAAGTATGCTATTGAGATGTTTATAAGCATAGCACAGATCGAATGCCTCTTAACCCCTAGACTGTCAGAAGAATTCAAATGAGGATTTTTTGTGAACTATCGAGGAGGTGCAGGAAAGAATATCGAGGATGATTTGGTCCAGAAAATATACAACAAATGCAGTAAGAGCATTGTGCAACGTATGGGGGCTAACAAAACTTTGAACTCAATCAGAAAAATATGCAGAGCAACAACAGGAATCAATGAAATTACAGAAGCATTCGATTGTTCCGTTGGAATTCACAAAAAGTCAGTACAGCACACCGCTCGTGATTCCATAGAGGATGAAAAGGAAATGATTGCAGACCTGATAAAGTTGGATCCTTTCACTTATATGCCTTCAAGATGTCACAATAGCTTTCCTGACATCAGGCGTTGTCCTCTGCAATATCTGAAAGTTATTGACTGCCATCAATGGCTAAGAAAACGTATGGCAGAACTCTCAAATTGACCTTTGCCGTGTTCTAACAGCACCATACTATATAAAGTTGAACATTTTGTAAGGAATTATTTACAGTAATAATGATATACATTAAAATGTTACTCGACTGTGATTGGTTGATTTCAGTACAGTTAATCCCGAACAGAAGTGCAAAATGTGTAATCACAATGCATTTTTTTGTAATCACAGTGCAAAAATCTGTAATCGCTATGAACCAATGAAAATCTTGAACATTTTAATGTACATTATTAATAATTATTATATGGCAAGCATCACTTCCGGTGAAATGGCGGACTATGGTTGGCTGAGAAACACTTTCAGCGGTCCATTATTTTCTCGTAATGGACCGGCTGTCCATTACGTAAAAAGAAACGCATGCATTTTAAAACAAAAGAGCAAAACTAATAGAAAATTATTATTTAGTTTGGAAGGACTACATTGCTATTTTTTGTTTTCTTTCATCAAATGTTTACCACACTAGTACTAATATGGATTTCAAATCATGTATTTCTTGTTTGTTTCAAGTATAAATGCCTATAGATGCCACATAATAAACTTTTTATTAACCTAATAACCTCGCTCAGCCTGGTCTTTACAGAGAAATATAGGACCTTGGACTTTTTGTACAAACCTCGCCCTACGGGCTCGGTCTGTACAAAAAAGACCTCAGTCCGATATTTCTCTGTAAAAACCTCACGCTCGGTTAATAAGAAGTTAGTAATAGCGGGATTTCTAGGGCAATTTGGACATAACATGCACTTGCATTGTGAGTTTTCCACAGATCTCAAATAGCACTCGTTCATCGGATTCGTGCTATTTTGAGGTCTTTAAAAACTCGCTCGTACATGTTATATCCAAATTGCACTTGAAACCATAGTATTACCTCTACCTACATTTTAGTTGACATTCATAATTAGATTTTTTTTAAAATTAGTTCATTTCAAAATTGTAAGCTCGCACACAACAGAAAATATCTGAGAAGAGCAAGCTTCATTCCATATACCATGTTTGTCCAACAGATCCGATTCACTTGAAATATATTCAATATCATCCATTATATTTTCAACCATATTCTTCATGTCAACAACAGGAACATCAATCATGGAAAAGCATTGCGAAGTTTCTTGAGTGCTGTGTACAATTGCTTTAATCAACTCTTCCAGATGAATCCTATTTTCGGTAGGAAGTTCCCTTACTTTCTTGTAAGTACACGATAGTACATTTTCAATACTTTTGCTGTCTTTATCACAAATGGTACAGCAGTTGTTCTGTATCACTAATTTAAATCCAAAATACTCTAAAATGATCTTTCTCATACACATTTCTGTTGCCATGGACTGGTTTATGTGCAATTTGTTATTGCTAATGTCAGAATTGTTGTAATAAAGGGTTGCTCTAGCATGTATGCCCACAGTTCGGCCAGCACGCCCTATTTCCTGCATGTAGGCTTCAAGAGAACTGGAAGGTGAAATATGAATGATGCTTGTAACATATGGTGAATCAACCCCCATTCCGAGTGCACATGTTGCAAATATAACTCTTACCCTTGAGTCTGCTTTCTTTATCTCTGTTATAAGTTCCTTTTTCATACGGTGAGTTTGTGGTGAGTGAAACTGGGCAAAAAGTCTTCCTGTTGGTTCCTTTGAATCTCCCACATATTGGTTCTCATTCAGGATTCTTTCAAATAGAGAGTATGCATAGCCACAATACTTCAATTTCAAATATATAATTGTCATTGGGTATTTTTCTCTCTGAATGACTAGCTCCTGAGCAATTGGTTCAAGGATGGCTCTGTAGCTTTCACTGCCATGGTGATTGCTAAGTCGAACATTTTTCTCCAAATAAATATTCATCCTGTTTGGGTTGACAGACACAATTTTGCAGCTGGCAAGCATCAAGCTTTTTTCCAACTTTACCAACAATTGTGGTGAAGCAGTTGCTGTTAGTGCCAGAGTTGGAACCAAAGGAAAGAATGCCTTTAGTGAGGAGAGGTCTTTAAAATCTGTTCTAAACTCTTCACCACTAAAAATGGCAAAATTAACCCATTGAGTGGCATTTTCTTGCATGAAAGAGGCGAGATCTTACTGGGATGAAAATTTATCCATATAAAACACTCACAAGTGGATAAACAGTTAAAAGAATTGCCACTTCCAAGTTATTTCTAACAACTGTCAAAACAATGTCAAAATAAGTAACTATAAAACGTCCCTGACAAGTACAATGAAATTTTCTTATATAAACACAATGCAAATTCAATCTGCTTACTGCCCTTACTGGCTGTCTCACTTAGCATGGCTTACATATAAACAGTCTCTAAATGGACTGAAGTTAATTTAATAGAAAGAAATTGCCTCTTGTACCACTTTAATGAAAAATTAGCCATTTAATATGACTTTGATGTTTGGATTTTACAAACAAATATGTCAAATGTCACCACCACTATAAAATTTGGACTTGATCTCATTAAATTTCACTGACATTTGACCAAACATGGCTGTGAGACTGAATACAAACAACAGACAAACGTCTATAAAGACAATAATATAAATCTTTCCATGTGCAATTCATAAAAAATATTTCATTCAATAATCAACAAAGATATAAATTATATTCTCACCATATCTCAACACAATTACCTCATCAATTACAAGTGCCTCATCAATTACACAAGCTACAACATTAATTTGGAAGACTTGACTTGCTATTAATTCTCGTCCTTCTTTGCTTAATAGAGCCTCTGGATGGGCAAATAAAATCGAACATTGTCCATTCAATATGTCAGAAGGGATGTGAAAGTTTGCTTCTTCGTTCACACATTGCCTTTGTGTCGGGCCTGTGACTGTCGGCGGAAACAACTCTTCCGTAATAGCACCTTGGCTTCTTTCAACAAGTACATTGGCAGCAATACCTCTACTGTTCAATATATTTAGTTGATCTTCAATTATAGAGTTGAGCGGGCATACAACTAGCACAATATTGTTACTTTTTTTGGTTGGCATAACATATGGCAAGAGATGAAAAAGCAACGACTTCCCAAATCCTGTAGGTAAAACTGCGATCACGTCTTTGCCCTCCAAAAGGTACTCCAAGCACTTTACTTGAAGTGGCTTTAAATTTAAAGATGGGAAGTTGGTGCTATTCAGTGCAATTCCTATTTGCCGGAACACAGAAAACTTGTCCACTACACGTAGCGCCGCCATATTGAAAATTAAAAATATTTTATGATAATTTATGCAGATCCAAAATACCCACAAAATGTGGGTATTTTGAGGTCATGTGACCAGCCGATCCCAAGGTTTTTTCCTGCCTTCCCAATGACAAAAAGGGAAAAGCCCTGGGAACGAGGTTGTATATAAACATAAGTGTTATATAGAGTTTTTGGCCACTAAGAAAAGTCGTATTGAAACACACGTAAAAAATACGATATTTTTACGTGTGAAAATATCATTTGTTGTAAAACGCATTGCCACGGACGTTTTATTGTTTTTCACTGAATTTTGTTTATATAATAAACAGAAAAATACATGGGTGCTTGGAAATACCAGATTTATTTCTTGTGTTGAACATGATATCTCACTCGTTCGCTGCGCTCACTCGTGAGATATATCATGTTCAACACTCGAAATAAATCTGGTATTTCCGCGCACCCATGTATTATTCTCTATATAATCCACTTGTAAATATTTTATAGTTTTTAAATAAGCATAGACGTATAGTTTACGAATACCCTGTATAATATAGATATATATTACAGGACCTCCCTGAAAAACACTTCGGTGAGTGGAGCTTCCTGAATAATTATTATTATTATTATTATTAAACGGTATTTGAGAACAATGTCTCCTGATGATCGCAGTGATGCGTGAAACTCGGAGTAGAGACAAAAAAAGATTTTAAGTAAGAATAGTAATTACATTCGCTCTACGAAATTTTATGTATTGAGCACTCTCTTCACTATACGTTACAAAACTTGTGATATATATATATATTATATATATATATATATATATATTATATATATACACCGTATTATATATATATATTATATATAAATAGTACATATAATATAAATAGTACATATAATATATATATATATATATATATATATATATATATATATATATATATATATATATATATATATATATATATATATATATAATCGGTCCCAGGCAGGGGACACAGCCAAGTACGAGCAAAACGGCTCGGTCACAAAGTGTCCGTTATATATGGTTGTTCCCAACTGTACTTTCCTTACCCAATCTTCTGAATACCGTTTCGTAAACACGTGTTATTGATATGTTTATTAAAGTTGAACTCCAGTTTCAACCAAGAGGAATATGTAACCACAGCTACTCGAGTCTTGGCGGGAGATATTGGGAAAAATTCGATCAAATTTTGAACAAATGTTTTCTCCAAGACGAAATTACTTGGGCCAATGCTTCCCGATTTATCCAAGACAAATACTATGTCCAATTCTGACGAGCCTAGTTAATTTAAAAAAAAAAAATTGATGGATTAAAGTGCCGTGTTGCCAGAGTGAGGAAGCGAGGGGAGTAAAGGGCCATGTTCCTCATCATGTCTGTCGTCAGGTTAAGGTATTTATGTATTTTCTCAGTTATCGGTCAAAAGTATGCATATGGGCGATTATAAGTGGTCAGTTAACATCTTCAAATCATTCTCATTACCTGTAGGACGTGATTTTTGGAACGTTTTCCGTGCTGTAAGGAAAGTTCTTTTGGATAATTCTGTCTTGCCTGTGTCTGCAAAACAAAAAATTGGACATCGAGAAGCGATCTTGTCGGCACATCATTTTTTCTCTCCAACCGTGGTTCAATTCAGTCTTGCAATATTCAGTTGTCTGATTATAATTATTTTGCTCAAGTCACATACGACGAAAGTGACTCTATAAAGACAATGGCAGAGCGGGGGGCGGGGGTGATGGGAGTACTCGAGTATTGACCACGTTTTACGAGAAATAGTAAAATATATTAAATACATAGTAACATGTGCAGTAACATGTACATTTAAAATTTGTTTATTTTATATCTCACACTGTTCCTTCTATAATAATTATCACGATTTACTGTTACAACGAAATAAGCGCTACTCTGTTACACAAGGGCGTACCCAAAGGGGGATTTGGATGTGTACCCCCCCCCCTCCAGAAAAATTCAATCAAATTGTGAACAAATTTTTTCTCCAAGGCGAAATTACTTGGGCCAATACTTCCCGATTTATCCATGACAAATACTATGTCCAATTTTGACGAGCTTAGTTAATTTTAAAAAAAATTGGACGGATTAAAATGTCGTGCTGCCAGAGTGAGGGAGCAAGGGGGGGAGGGGTAAAGGGCCATGTTCCTCATCATGTCTGTCGTCAGGTTAAGGTATTTATGTATTTTCTTAGTTATCGGTCAAAAGTATATATATGGGCGATTATAAGTGGTCAGTTAACATTTTCAAATAATTCTCATTACCTGTAGGACGTGGTTTTTGGAACGATTTCCATGTTCTAAGGAAAGTTCTTTTCGATAATCCGGTCTTGCCTGTGTCTGCAAAACAAAAAATTGGACATCGAAAAGCGATCTTGTCGGCACATCATTTTTTCTCTCCAACCGTGGTTCAATTCAGTCTTGCAATATTCAGTTGTCTGATTATAATTATTTTGCTCAAGTCACATACGAGGAAAGTGACTCTATGAAGAGAATGGCAGAGCGGAGGGCGGGGGTGATGGGAGTACTCGAGTATTAACCACGTTTTACGAGAAATAGTGAAAACTAATACATACATAGTAACATGTGCAATAAGTCGTCAAAGCCCCCACTAGAGGTTCATCAATCCTTGACCTCATCATTAGCAACTTATCGAAGTATTATCAAACCCCACAACTCCTACCACCACTTGGATCAT